TGGACTCAAGAAATAAGCATGCCAAGTTTGATGTAAGTAGATAAAACCGTTCTCGAACTATAATCGAACAAACACCCAAACCCATAATTTTAACTTGTGTAGGCGGACTTCGCCTTTAAAGGGTTAAACACCCTAAGACGGAAGTGAAAGCTGAATTCCAGAGCTTGTACGGGAGCGGTGAACGTTTAATTTATGTGTGTGACTTTATATTCGTGGATCGCATATTCATAGACCTGTAAAATATCCTACATTTTAAAATAAATTTATCTTTCGTGTTTGTGTAAATGGGACGGTACAGCGTGAGATTCGGATACCGGCCTAACATCGGACTTAGCGAAATAATTTTTCTGGTTTTCTTTCTGACAAATTGCGGTGGTAGCACTTTAAAATGAACACACGCCCCTTTCTACACACATCCATCCTTATTCATGAAGCCTTATTTCCGGGTTTTTTCCACCAATAATTGGTACAGCTTATCATAAATTAAAATAAAAAATCTTCGAAGGATGATGAATTTTCAGAGTACATGTGACATTGTTGCTTGGAGCTGAAGTATTCAAGGTTGCAAATTGCGTGGGAAACGTGTGTGGCAGGTGAAATCTTAACGCGGACGTGCGCTTCGTGTAATCACACATCAAAAATTTTAATTTAACCTTGACCCCCCCCTCCCTCAGTCTAGCAGTGTTGGCATTGCAAGAGGGAGAGGCCATCTATTAAACATATGAAGGAACACGACATTGCAAGGAAGGAAACGTTGCTATTCAAGAATTTCATTACATTTATAAAAAAAAGGCAAGTGAAAATTCTTTGGTTAAGTCACTGAACGCTTTTAACGAGACGAAACAACTTTAGGATGAAGATTTCTGTCTTCTGGGTTGTTACGCTGTGTAGTCTGGTCGATGAATCGCCCTGATGACGGAGGCAGTATGACCTCTGAAACGTTGGTAAACATCGACCAGACTACACAGCGCAACAACCCAGAAGACAGAATTCTTCATACTCATCGCCCTGATGATGGAGGCAGTATGACCTCTGAAACGTTGGTAAACATCGACCAGACTACACAGCGCAACAACCCAGAAGACAGAATTCTTCATACTCATCGCCCTGATGATGGAGGCAGTATGACCTCTGAAACGTTGGTAAACATCGACCAGACTACACAGCGCAACAACCCAGAAGACAGAATTCTTCATACTCATCGCCCTGATGATGGAGGCAGTATGACCTCTGAAACGTTGGTAAACATCGACCAGACTACACAGCGCAACAACCCAGAAGACAGAATTCTTCATACTCATCGCCCTGATGATGGAGGCAGTATGACCTCTGAAACGTTGGTAAACATCGACCAGACTACACAGCGCAACAACCCAGAAGACAGAAATCTTCATACTCACCGCTGTGAAAACCTCAAATCTTACAGCTTTAGTATATTTGCAGTGACTAACTGCTTAACGAAGTCTTTCATTGTATCACTGTATGGAAAATATTGTGTTCAGATCGGTTTACTTATTTATTAGTATTTATTGAAGAGGTTTTTTTAACACGAAACGTATAAGAACTGTAAACTCGCTCCAGTAACTCGTCTTTGCACCAAACCCCTGCGAACTAGGCTTTAAGGACAACTAGGATTCAAGTTGATTCTTTAAATAAGAATTTCGTGTTGCAGTAATTCAATTTCCAGCAGCTTTTAACTTAACTCTTTGCTCTTGTGTGTACTACACGCATTTTTAACATTGAAACTAGATGGAGGTCAGTGGTTAGCTTCAAGCCCCGGACGCTTTATCCCGGGAAAGAACATGATATGCATTGGATAGGAGGCTGTGTGGATCTCAGAGTCGGTCTTTGCTTGTTTCAAAGCTTGAATCTCTTCTATCCCTGTCTGTATGTCTGTCCGTTACACACACAAACAAACACGTTCACAAAACGCAGTCATTGCACCTGTATCAGAACGTAAGTCCCTACCAAAGATAATAGTAATTAATATATTCTCTCTTAACCTACAATTTTTTCAGACTAATGAGATGTAGCCTTTGCTTTAAAGATTACTGGCAATAAACCTCCACTTTTCGTTTGCCTTGGGTTGTTAAAGTGGGGAAGAAGGGAAGAGATTTTTCTCGTCTGTATATTGTAATAATAATTGTTATGTTAATAATGAACAAACAATGGGCAAGCACTAACCTGGTCTGACGTTCTTGGTGGACTTGTAGTTATAGCTTTCGCCCGGTGCATCATGGGAACATGAATGTTCTCAGGGTTCGCCCCATGGGGCAATTCCCAGTTGCATGGATGGACTGGTTGCAAGAGGAAATAGTTGGGGCTCATAGTTTACGTAAGAGATTATTGTAGGATAATAAAGGTACTGAGCTGCTTATTGGTAAAAATAAAGCTAGGCAGACATGGAGTAAGTCTTTTAGCCCTGTCTATTATTTAACCCGGATGTTCATTGCCGTGTTCACAAAAACCAGCCAATGGACCCCGTCCTGAGCCAACTGATTCCAGTCTGCACTTTCCATTTAATAATATCCTCCCATCTAAGCCCGAGTCTTCCAAAATAACTCTGCTTGCATGTTTAAGTTCTTTGATGCGTGCTGTATGTTTAGCCTGTCTCATAACTGGTTTGGTCACACATAATTTAAAATTAAATTATTTGGTTATTCCGTCAAATCACAATGTATTTAAAATAAGATAATTAAAATAATTAAAATATCATTCTGTGTTCCATATCGAATAATCGATTTCCAATTGGAAATCGATTATTCGATTATTTTAAATACATTGTGATTTGACGGAATAACCAAATAATTTAATTTTAATTTAATAAATCACAATATGACGCAACTACACTATTTCACACATAATTTGATAAAGAGTAAGCCCTTTAGATCATAAAACTCCTCATTAAGCAGTTTTATCCAATCGCATGATCTTGTTGGCTTGTCTGAAGGCGTGTCAGCATCTATGGCGAATTCGGTAACTATCAAATTGAAATGAAGAAACTGTGCCCCAGCACGGTGAAATTTATATTCATGCCGTGGGTACGCGTAACTAAGACAGTCAATGTCTGTCACGCTTGATTGGACGAGTGCGGAAAAAATTTAAATTAAGTTACGACGGTGGCGACTCTGGTAGCATTAGCATTAAACAGCATTAGTTACTTCAGATTTTTTATATTTTTAGATAAAAATCGGCTCTTCCTACTGGTCACCTTCCTGTCAGCTGATATGGAAACATATCCAGTTTCCAAAATGTCTTGTTTTAAAAATCCCCGGACAATAGACAATGCCCAAAACAATAATAATGATAAAAAGAACTGAATTTTATTTCAATATATTCATTTATTTAATCGTATGATCATTTATTCGGTATTTTATTTTATTTAATTTTAACGTTAACTGCAAATCTAACAGGCCTTCCTGTTGAGAGGGGTCTCTGTTATTAATATATGAAATGGTTATTTTTGCGGGCCCGATTTAATTTGTCGTGGGCCGCCCGTTGCAAACCATTGCCAAAATCGATCTCTCTTCTAGACATAGCTTGTCCTCTGGTGGCAGAATATTGAAATGTGTGCTGTAGTATAGGTTTCACCCGTGCAGATGGCAGCAGAGTAACTTTCACCATATTCGTCGCATACGTCGTCAAACAAGCTTTCGTATTCTAATTTCGTTTCAATTTGTTACGGAATTCTTTTCTGCAAAGCGAGGGCAGCTTCCTTACGTAAGGTACATCGTTAAAACTGATAGCTCGGGAAACACAATATAAAACCAATCTATAAATTCATTCCAGAAGATGTGTATGAACTTATCCTTGGTTATACAGCGTCAAATGTGTTTCCATATAATTAATGTAAATTAAAAGACTTGCCGTTGGCTGATCTCCCATTTAAGGATTCCTGCGGAATTCCCAAAAGACAACCTATAACATAAAATTTAATAAAAATCAGCCCATAGTTTCTCAAGTCATGAGATCACGGTATAAAAATACTCTCTTTAATTAGCTTTCAAGCTATAAACCTAACAAAAATGAGTATTGGGAATGACGTATTTAAGTTTTCTTTTCAATTTTGACTAAAAGAAATTTGTTTATAATAAAATATGGGTAAATGACCATGACAAGAAACCAAAATCAGCATCGAAGTAACTGTATTACCATAAGTAATAGGCCCAAATCATCCACGTTTCTTTCAAACTACAAGTTTCCTTAAACAAGTTAGGACAGAATAATAAAACATTAAAATGCGTTGGAAGGATAACAATAAGATGGATCTTTGAAGATGGGTATTAAGGACGAGACACTACATTCAAAGCATCCTTTGCGTAACGAATAGAATATTTGAGAATTTCAGCAATTTCGTAAACTCTATGTGCCATATAGAAAGGTCTTCAACTCTGTGCTGCCCTTCACTAACCAACTTCATGGGACAGAGTCTTTGTCGAAAAGCTGATAGTTTTGCAGATGGTAAAGAAATGTCACATTTTATGGAAAGTCAAGTTCCAGTGCCAAATTTAGAAGAACTTGTCACTGGGTTCTACCCTGAGTCAGCTGAATCAAGTCAAAGCCTATCCATTTTAATATTATCCTTAGGTCTAAGCATTGTGTCCAAGGTAGTATCTTTCCTTCAAATTTTCGAGCAAAGTGCTGTATGATTTCCTGGTCTCAGTGATACAAAAATACAACCTTTATACATTTGGCTTTAAATACTAACAGAATGTCTCTTTATTTGAAGCGTGTGTGATATGCTTTTATATTCTTTGACACTTGTACGTAAGCGTTACAGTCTTGATGCGAGAGATGACCTACTGATATTACCGGTCCCCCATTGTAACGTTTCCGCCTTGTGCAGTAGTTCATAATAGTCTCACAATGCACAGAGAAAGTTTTCGTTAAGATGTCTTCGAGAACAAGGTGTCTGGATCTCACTTTCATGAGAACAAAAATTATAACGCGAATTGACCACAGCGTCCAAAAATAGTTTTGTCACCTTAGCTTCGCGAGAGGTGACGCGCTAAATCTCGGAGGACTTCTGCGTTTTCCGAGGAAAAGGCTGTAACGGTTTTCAGATAAGTGAAACGCGGTCATTATTTCAGAAATATAATGACGCTATTGGTAAAGAATTGCTGTATTTATTACGGCCTAATAATATCTTTAACCGTATGAGAGAAAGTCGCATTGCTTGGCCTTGTTTGTTTCGGAAGACAATATTAAAAGACGCACAGTGTTACGTAATTGTACGTGTACTCAGCTGTGACGTATAAATACGCGAAGGCGCATGCCTCGGCGCGTTTTTGGTCGATACCCAATGCAAGAAGACCCGAGCTCAGGAATACGAGTGTTTGGGAGTCAAGGATAGTGTTCGCTTGTCGTCAACAGTGCGAACACAGCATCAGGAAGGGTGTTTGTGACATTTCAGTGTAAGTAAGTTGTGATCACATGTTGGCTATTGCGCTGTTGTTAAACTGCGTAAAATAGAGTGAATGCATCGTGTTAACTGTTTTTTCACTTTGGGGGAAAAAAAGTGGTTCACTGAAAACTAAAATTGGATAACATACGGAAATGTATTAGTCGTTTCTAAAATTAAGTAAGATATTCTTTTATTATGAAATTAACATTTATTTACGACGAAAATCATACTTTATACGTATATATCATGATTAAACTGCACATATATCAAATTATAATTATATCCATAAGTAGCTAAGATGTGGTCTTAAAATAATCGTCTAGTATTCGTTACGTTTTACTTGTAATTTAAAATTAGACACAAATGTATAATATTTGCCAGACTTTAGTTTGTTAATACTGACCTTAGAAGCAGTTTAAGATGCAAGGTTTATTTTTTTTTCTTAAGGTTTTGGAATGTTGTCATTTACAGTACAATTACCACGCCATTGTCTATCGCATATACACTTTCGTACCCTTTGTATGTTTATGTTTAAATTCGAACATTTATTACGTTAAAGTGTTCGTTATAGGAGCCTGTAATTTAAAGCAAGATACAGCGATACGAACCATATGATGAAGTGGAGGGATAGCTCCACGTATTATTAACCTTGATATTCTATTAATATGAATGACTACGTTCATGCTATGACGGCTTTACGCCCTGATCACATTGAACAGGAGGCTGGGTGGGCTCCAGAGTCTGTCTACAAGCGTTTGAGGAGAGAAAATTGAAGCCCCTGCCGGGAATCGAAACCTGGTCGTTCAACCCATAACTTGTCACTCACTATATATTATTCAGTGATCACTGGTAAATATAATAAACGAGGATCCGCGTAATATAGTCGTAATGCAGCTCAGTGTAGTCTGGTAGAAGTTTACCAACGTTTCAGCTGTCCTTCCTGCCGTCATCATCAGGGCGATTTTTTTTAAAAAGCTTCTACGCGTTTGGCATTGGTGATAAACGTTCCTCCAGGCACTGTTCGAGACCTGTCATTAACATCGGTGTTCTGAATACTTTCGTGGTATTTGTGTATTCAAAGAAAGTTATTTAGATGTGAGATTTGAGGCTCTTGGGTTTTAACGTCGTGAAGACTCGTGTCCTAGAGGAATAGCATCGTAACGTTCTGTATGTCACTGAGCGTTACTTTTGAAAGCGGTGGGACTAACATTGTGGGATGAATCTTTCACATTGCAGTGAATGTTATTTTCATGTAAAAGCAACGTCTGTCGGGTATCGCCTATCGTCTGCTACTTGTTGCTGATTGCTCCAATGTGAATCTTGTTATAACCTGCATATAAAGCAGGCAGTTCCAATGTGCGCGAGCCTTAAATAATAATAATAATAATAATAATAATAATGTAAACTTTTCAAAATCACTCCACTAGATCTCCAGGTACGAAATCTAATAGTATAAAATAATTTTTGATTAGTGTAAGTATCTCGAAAACCGTAAGACTACTGGAAAAATTGAATCATTTTTCTTTAAATTTAATGACTGAAGATGAGATGGTATGTTTGAAACGTTAACATGTACCCAGTCTACACGACTTTACAACCAAGAAGAACAACATTATGAAGGCTGATTTCTTTTCTTTAAAACGTAAAGGACGGACGGACGTTTAAAATAATTCTCGAGATTTGATAACACCACGCACACATTTTAAGCATCTCTCTCGAATTAATCATCTTAAAAAAACAGCTCTCTAGGTTTCATGTAATTGGTGAATTTGTTTGTAACATTTCACTGCTTTGTGTGAAATCTTTGCTTATATTATGTGACATCTTATGACTTATTCCACATCCTATTGTAGTCTTACTAACTTACGGATCTGTGGAATATAACAAAGATGTAAGATGTGTGTATGTCTTTATAATACGTCCTTTATATGAAGTTTATTTCTCTTTGGTCCACGTTTTCAGCAATTATGAAGACGGGCAAGAACACTTAAAGGTTCTGGTTGCGTATAGCTAACAAGAACTGATATCGGCTATGTCCACTTGGAATGTTCCTGTCAGTTGCAAGTTTAGTTCTTAGAGACGGACATCCATATTTCCAGGAGTACGTGCATCTCAGCATACAGAACAAGACATCCGAGGTTAGTTTTAATGTACGAATATCTATTTATATTAACGAAAACTTGCTGATTTCATGAGCACAAACTGAATTTAAAACAGTTTGCTTTAAATATTTATCTACTGTTTAAATCCACGGAAAGACGTGGCTGCAATACAGGTCTTAAGAATTTAAACAGCCAATAATAATTAAGAAGCTACTCACGTGACAAACTGGTCCAATCGTTTGCGTACAAAAGCCCTGTATATTATCATTAAAATAAACAAGGCGATGTTGGAACAACAAAATCACATCGCATTGTCTATAAGATGAAATCCTTGGCTGTACGACGGCTAATAAAAACACTAAATAAAGCAAAGCCGATGGGCAGACGTGAATATCAGTCAATATTTGTTTCTGTTGTCATTGATTTTCGAGTTAAATTACAGGCATGTGGATTGTGGTCTTGTGGGTTGTGACGCCTCGTCGTACTGAATGTGTTTACCGACGTTTCGGAGGAATGTATGGCTTCTGTTTCAGCAAAGAAGGCTTTCATAAATACACAGCGTCATAACCCCGAAGACCAAAATTCAAATTTCTCATCGCTTTTAAAACCTCACTTTTCTACCAGTCCTCGTTACTACTACTTTACGCGCCTTCCGGCTTTAGCAGTTTCGTAATACTTTTGAGGGGAGGGGGGGACTATTTGATGTGACCGGTGTTAAGTTTTTCTGTGTGTTTAGAAGTGGAAGGCCAAGGATTTTACACATACAGCAGATAAATTATAATATCCACATATATTGTGTAAATACAATAAAACCATAATAAAAAATATGACTTATTTGTAAACATTAGAAATTTATCAAAAGTGTAAAAGGACTGTGTAATCAAGTTATCTATTTAATGCTGCTTTAAACTGGGCCTTCTGTTATAATACTTGTGAGACTAGTTGGTTCAATGTTGAAAACGCTGATACCTTCATGTGTACGGCGTTCCGTATTCGTTAATTAAGCCAGAAAACCGGAAGAAAACCTTTGAAGTCTCAGTACGAACTACTTGATGTGGTCTAACACAGTGGTATTCAACCTGGGGTACGCGAAAACATCTTATGGGGTACGTGAAATTTAAAAAAAATATTTTATTTTATGATAAACACTGAATAATCAGTAATGTAATTTATTTAATTTATTTTAGATGTAGATTATATACTATGTATAACTTGAATTATACACCAATAACTTTGGGGGTACAGAGTTGAAGAGAAATTATATCTGGGGGTACGCGAACAAAAAAGGTTGAATACCACTGGTCTAACAAATCTTGCAGTTCTATTCAGAAAATCGTCGCGCTCTGATGAACTTCAACATCTCAATTCTGTACCACCTAAGTTCTGCTGCGTGACACATATTGTGTAAGTAAGTAACATTACATTTACGAGCATATTCTGTTCGTGTGTTAGAATTGTTTGAGGTTTTATTTTCCTTTAGTAGATTGTGTTCTGCTGAGAATAGAGAACTGAGATAACCACGAAGTTGGCTGGCGACAGTGACATTGTTCCATGCAACTTCTAAAGACAGGAATATTCCTTGGGAAGAAGGGTACAGGGGTCTATTTTAGAGCGTTTCTTCGTGTTTTAGTGTATGATATTGGGTTAAGACCTGTTAATGAAGTGTAGAAGTTCAGGAGTGGAAAACGGCATGAGATCTCAGATTCTCACGGCGATGGGTATGAATATGACTGTCTTCTGGGATGTTGTACCTTGTAGTCTGGTAGAAGTTTACCACTTTACCAGGAGCTGCCTCCATCATCAAAGTGATGAGCATGGAGGCCGTAAGCTCCCTCGAAATGCCAGCCGATCTACTAGACCAGTTGTATTCAACCTTTTTTGTTCGCGTACTCCCAGATATAATTTCTCTTCAACTTTGTACCCCCAAAGTTGTTGGTGTATAATTCAAGTTATACATGGTATATAATCTACATCTAAAATAAATTAAATAAATTACATTACTGATTATTCAGTGTTTATCATAAAATAATATATATTTTTCTAAATTTCACGTACCCCCGGGGGTACGCGTACCCCAGGTTGAATACCACTGTACTAGACTACACGGTGCAACATCCCAAGAAACGGCCATGTACTTTGTGAAATTTCAATTCGAATTTGCACTGTTATATTCTTGTAAGAGTAGTCAGGAATAAACGTGCAATAAAACATTTATGAAATTAATTGTGTTGCAGGTTAGGGGAAAATTGGCCTTTTATTAAACAGGGAGGCTGAATCAAAAGTAGGTGACCTAATGCGTAGCTTTCCTATGGGCATTGCAGCGGTGATATCAACTGCTCGTGCGTAAGATACCAAAGTATCCATGGAAGAGAATCCCAGCTACTCAGATACACCCAAAGGATCCCCGATAATGGTAAAACGGGAAGGACTTACGGTCATCAGTGGAAGTGTACAAAAAGATAAAGAGGTATCAGAATCGACCCAGAAATCTATACATGACATTTGTCAGACTTCAGATGATTATGCCAGTTGTGACCAAAATACCTTTGTATCTTTGACCACAGATGAAAAATACGACAAATCCTTAAGCAGGGATGAAATTAGTGTTGAGACAAAAATAATATGGGACGTCGTGGGCACGAAAAACAAAGAACTTAATGGTGTAAATAGAAGCGACATTTCAGCCTTGAGATCAGTTGCTTTAAATATTATCGTGAACTCAGTTTCCCTGAATATCTCGGGTAGTGGGTCAGGAGTAAGCATTAGTGGAGTTTGTTCAGATCGACAGAACGAGTCTGAAGTGAATGCTGTAGGAATTGACATAAAAGAACATTCCACAGCTGAGGTGAAAGACAAAAACCACGTATCCTCTGAATGCGAAGAAATTTGTGACGAAAATGTTGGAAGAACTGAGATACCTGTCGCAGATTCAGAATGTTTGAAGACAGAGGATGCAAGTTGTAATTCTGATGTCAGTAAGACTAATGCTGTTCCTGATCCAATACTTCCTGAATATCTCAGTCTGCTTCTGGAGGGCATGAATGTGTGCGGAGACTCGGGGTGCCCTATGAATCCCAGGCCAGAGTGGGTTGACTTGGATAAATTCCGAAGAGGCCAGTGCGTTGCCATGAAGTATCTGTTTGGTCTTATGTTAGCCGAAATGCTGTCTCTTATGTTAATCCTTAGTTACCCTCATGGTCTCCACCCACTTGTCTTCACGAGAAAATCTGATACTCCTTTCAAATCATTCAAGAGATATCTTTCTACATTGATACGAGTTAGATCGTGGTATTCCGATGACATCTGGAAGCCTGGTACAGAAGGTCACAGAAATGTTAACGTAGTTAGAGCGATGCATGAATCTGTCAGACAGGGGCTGCATAACACCAAACCTGAAGACCTCCCTAAGAAAATAAGACTCTCAGGGAATTCCAAGTGCGTGTGCAAAGACGCAATATGGAGCCCTCTTCATGAAAAGATATGTGAAGACTTTCAGGTATCCTGTCCATACCCTCGTCCTAACCAATGTCCTTTTCTTGACTACCACAGCAGTTCTGTCTTCGTGAATCAGATGGACATGGCAGTTGCTCAGTTCGGGTTTGTGGGACTCTTCGTTCTGTTTCCTCGTAGGTTTGGTGCCCATGGAATTTCCGATGAGGACATGGATGCTTTCGTTCACCTTTGGCGTTGCCTGGGGTACGTATTGGGTTTAGAAGACAAGTATAATTTCTGTAACGGTGATTTAGAAACTGTTCGACAGAGGAGTCGTGACATAATTAATTTTTGGGTGAAACCTAATTTACGCGAAGTTTCTCGTGACTGGGAGCACATGGTGCGTTGTATAGTGGAGGGAGTCAGCTATTACATCCCTGGAATTACGTTTGAAATATCGCTTCTGTATTTGTGCAGTTTGCTGGGTATCTACGCCCCCAGGCTTACAGCTGCACTCACATTCACGCAAAAATTGTTTTATTGCCTGATGACCTTTACATTTTGGGTAATTATGCGTCTACCAGGTGCCCATTCCTTTTACAATTGGTTACTAAGTATGACAATAAGGAAAGCCCAAATGGCCTCACCCGAACGACTAAGAAAACTTGAGCACAGAAAATATCCCTACGAAATAAACGCCAATTGCACTCGACTGTGACACTGTGAGGCCTTTTAGTGTAGTTATAGAATCCGATCTCTCCCGTCCCTTATACAGATATTCTGGAACTGTCTGTTATATCAAGATAGAAATGTATTTAGCTAAAAAATTCAGCTCAAGCCAAGCCTCAGAGCGGGCTGTAGTGCCTCTGTATTATCGTTATTAATGTTGTTGTTATTATTATTATTTCTCCTTTCACGGGTTTTTCTAGAACTTTTCCTCTTGAGTTATTGGTGAACTTTAACACTTAGGCTTTAAGTTTTTGGTTGTAGCATTTTCCTTATAAAATGTGGTGTTCCTAACATATTTGTTTTTTTTAAATAGAATATATTAAATATTATTAAAGATATATTTTAGACCATTAGTTGTAATTGTTGTGGTTCAATTATTACCAATGTACCTAATCCAGCTTGTCCCAAACTGTGGGGCCCGAAGACATTTATTTAAGAAAACTGGATTCTTTTGGTTCATAATATGTGACCAGCTCTTGTGAACTCAGTAATAATCCCCCGGGCTCCACAAAAAGTCAAATAATTTCTTGGTGACATTTCATGTTTGTAGCAATGAGAACGAAGACAACTGCCTTTTGGGATACTGCACCATAATATTGAAAGCAGTAAGTACTTCTGAAACGTCGGCCAGTTTCTACCACACACTACAGTGCAATATCCTTATTATTAACTTGTTATTAACTTTAAAACCGTATATATAGACGCCTCTAACTGTGACAGTTCTCGCTATATTTGTGCCTTCAACCTGTCTATAACGCTGCATATATAGAATCCCCTAGACGTGCCTAAAACCGGCTAGAAAGGCGCTTATGTCCATGCCCCTTAATATTTTCTGTAGAAGCATCTACGTATCCAGTCTCATAATACTAGCTACACAGAGGGCCGTGTTGCTTGTGATGCATACACCAGAGTCCATGATATTTGTAAGAAGACGCCACTGTACACGTCTGTATCCATACCCATAAAATTAACTAAACATAATTTATTATATAATTCTGTGTTACCGGCTGCATAGATACCCGTATGCGAGCCTATAGTCTTAGTTATGTAGGAAAGGAATGAATAGGGGAGTCATTTTAGCCAGTATTAAGACGTGGAAACAACCAATATTATAGACGCTGCTAGGGGCCGCTAAATAACCAATAACAAACATGCTTGGATAGAGGAGTCAATATAGCCAGTATCATAGAGACGTCTCTGTATAAAGTATAATATGGATGATTAAAGGAATCTATCGATCCAGTATTATAGATGAAGATAGAGGCTTATATATAACCAATATTGCAGTGCCGATAGCGGATTATGAAAAGGAGTATTAGACGCATGAAGAGAATGTGTAGCCAGTGTCAGAGGGAAGGGTATTGCAGTGATAAAGAAAATATTTACTAAGGGAATTTTCTTTTGTTTGTGTTGGCAATCTTACGTCATGATACTAATGTGGTCTGTTAGAAGATTGGCGTGCAAGGAGGATCGTTACTTTGTGTGTTGTGTGTTTGTTTTGGTAGTTGAAAGTTGCCTTAAGTCTTATTTATTAAATGATTGTTAATGTTTAAAGGTAATTGAAATACGGTTACACTTGTCGATTATTTCTCCACATGGAATCAAGGTTTGGAATCACCAAAAGCACATATTTAAGGTAGGTTGCAATTTTGCTTGAAACATACAAGTGATACACAGTGTGACAGCATTTGTAATTCAGAGTGAGGCATTTTCAGAATGTACACCACTATGAGAAATTATATTTCATGAACAATATTATTTTAGCTAATAAAAATAGGAATGAAAAATACCAGTTTTAGAGAATGTACAGATTTTTACTAACTCGACCATGGTTAGTGGTATATGGGTTATGGTTGGTTGGTTGGCTGGTGGGTTTTTTTGGATGGTTGTGGTGGGTGGGTTGTACTTGGGTTGCTGTGAAAGAGACGCTTTATTTCATAATAGTGTGACAGTGTGGGCTGAATTCAACTGGCACATAGTAAAGTCTAGTGACATGCGCTTGTGAACACGGTAGTAAACTTTCGAGTTTTTAATATCGATTGTGCCCATATCTCTGGTCGATAGACGATATACATACTTGGTAACGTCAAAAAAAGAACAGCAGGAAGCTCACTAGTAGAGATATATTTCTACGGTAGATGTCAGGATAGCAGCAACGCCTGTTGCGCTGTCTAATAAGTTTCCCCATTACATACGAGATGCCGCTACAGTGTAGTTGCCCTTGGATGCCTCAGCTGTCTCAGATGAGATAGAATCCATCAGCAATGACTGTGGTTGCGGCGGGAAACGAGGCTGACGGCAAAACATCAGACTGTCTGTGGTGGGGACGTAGAAACGAAGATGAGCTGCTTACATCAGGTGAGATGCAGTCTTCTGGAGATGGCACCAATACACGCCAGTCCTCAAACACGAACGCCATTGTAATATTTTACTTCTCAAATTCACATAAATTAATTTTCTTCTGTCTCATTCAATTCATTTAAGCTCAATTGCGTTATGATTTGAATTTAAGGAGAATTTTAGCGAAGTACACTGCATATGGAAGATAATAACATTGTGCGTAACTTAACAGGATTGACTTCTTTTCGTTTCCTTTTTTATCGTTGGGCCTGGCAGGTGAATTACGAGGCCTGTGGATGGAATATAATGACATAGTAGTACATATAAGGAAATCACCTCAATGCTGTGCTTTAAAACTGGCGGGTGGTAATATCAATTAAGGTGGTCAGAAGTTGTAGTTATCGTTTTTTGTGTGCGTGTGCGTGCGTGCGTGCATTTTTAAGGCGTAATACTCAACTGAAAACAACTAGCACAATTTCTTTTTGGTTTTATTTGTTCCTTTGCGAGTTCTTACAGACAGAGAATGCTTTTAAATCGCTTCGCGATTTCATGCGTCAGATGTTTATCTCCACAGGTACTCTGACTCATGTAACTGCACTTGATACAAAAACGTTACCTTTCACTACAAACCATTTGGTACAACCTACAAATGTATACCATACTAAAATGACTGTAGTCTTTTCGTAATTTATACGTTTATCGAAATATACGTAAATATTTTTATTCTCAACAAGAAAATAAACTTTATAATTCCTTTCAGCGGTTCTTATAAAACTACGCCGGTGTTTATACGAAATATATTTTTTTTCGAATTTGCAGTACTTAACTTTTATTTCAGTTATAAATATTCGTGAAGAGTGTTTAATAAATAAGAGGAAAATGATTTTCTTACTGGTCGTATTGTTGTATTTTAATGCATATTCATTTTTTTTAATATAAGAAAAAAATTATCTCCTCTGAGAAGAATTGACATGAGTGTGGATAATTCCGTATTAAATAAAAAGTGCTTAATCGCAATTTTTCATACGTTGTGTTTTTGAAAACTAGTTTCAAAATCGAATCTGTTGTTGTTGCAAAGTTGGTCGTACCGTATGAAGGCAGAAAGTATTGTGCAAAGGCGAGGCCTCGTAAACATTTAAAAGAATTGTTAATAAACATTGAAGATGGACAACTTAATAGTTACGTGGGCAGACTTTCTCATGACAGAGAATAAATAATTTAACAAAAAAAAATAATTTGTCAGTAAATTTTCAAAAAAACACTGTTACTCTATCGTAAATTCCTTTTAGTGCGAATGGAATATTTGGATTTATAGGGCTTCTCACATGTTATACGTTATACATGGCACACCTTTCCCGACTTTGTACACACACACACACATCATATAGGCGGAAGAATGTGGCAAATGTGTCCAGGTTAGGTATTTACACCTGTTTAATGAATTTGCGAATATTGTCGGCCTCTAGTGGACACGGTAATGACCCTTTCGGATTTTATGAAATGTGACGAATTTATTGACTAGCTGAGCCACTGTTTGCTTTAAATTAAGGATTATACTTCATAAAGGTTAATAAAATCTTCTCGGGCAATCAGCCGTGTTAACTGGTTACCGTAGTAAACCGACGTTTCGGGAACAAACTCTGTCAACATCTTCAGGATTCTGATGTGACTGGATCCTCGGAAGTCGCCTCGGAAGGCGCCTTCGTGGCTTGCTTGCAGAAACTGAATGACAACGAAAACAAACTCGACCGAGATTCGACCTGCAGTCCTCTCTTTTCAAAAAAAAGTAGAATCTCTGAAGTGTATATCGAAACCTTCAACATGTGTGATTTTAATGTTTTTGAGTTTGAGAACTAAACTGGAATACAGAGAGAGATTTATGTGTAATGTGTCTGGTCACCGAATTTAAATACCACTTGCTGCTACTAAATTATGCTTCAGTACAAAATAATTTATTTTTCACCGAGGATCATTGGCCAATAAGACAGCATCGCCCACAGAGATGCAAATGTCTTACATCTGTGACAGTAATCACAATAATGTAATGGATCGTAAAACATTTATCTAGCATTTTGTCATCCTTGTTATGGGTACACTTATATAGAGCCAATTTTATAATAAACAGAGAGAGAGAGAGAGACGCTCTATGAAATGACATTTATAAACAGTCGACTTAGCATTAAAAAAATTTGTATAATCTGAAGATAAGTTTGTGAAGCTCATGTTTGTACAAGACCGCTCAGTATGACAGAGATGCCATGAATAGGTGAGTTCGGCTTGTTACCGTCTAACTAACGTCTAATTTCAGCTTCGTTGCTTTTGTAGAGGAATGTATCGTAATTTTAAACTTTTCGTTGTTGGTTCCCATTTAAAGAATTCTTATTCAATATATTTAAATGGCAAAATATAATTGCTATTGTTGAAAACCCTAAAACTTGTAAGATTTGAGGTTTACGCAGCGGTGAGTATGAAGATTTCTGTCTTCTGGGTTGTTGCGCCGTGTAATCTGGTCGATGTTAACCAACGTTTCGGAGGTGATACTGCCTCCATCATCAGGGCGATGAGTATGAAGATTTCTGTCTTGTGGGTTGTTGCGCTGTGTAGTCTCGTAGATGTTTACCAACGTTTCAGAGGTCATACTGCCTCCGTCATCAGGGCGATGAGTATGAAGATTTCTGTCTT